TATATATATATATATATATATATATAATTATATATATTACATTTTACTATATAATATATATATTTCAATTTCTATTTGATATATACATATTTACCCCAAGACGAATCCATGCACGATTTGCCAGAGCTGATGCGGATTATATTTGAATTTCTTCATAGATCGAGATCATATTGTAAATAATCAAGAATGAGGAAAATTACGTGTGTGTAATATCCTTCCAATCAATGTCATCGTACAGAAAATTGGACGAATTAGTGGAGCAAATAGATCCAAAGGAGAAAATGGACGATGACGTGGCGGCGGTATGTGTTTAGTCTATTACTTCGATCTATGCTAATTCATGTATGCATCCACATAAAGTTATGTCAGCGATTTTTCATGTGTATGTTGATATGCTCATGTTAAACATGTATATGTGAGTGCTCAGATATGTACAAGTGCATATTAGTGCGTACTCGCATCTGACCATGTATAAGCGTATATATATATATATATATATATGTATATATATATGTATATATGTATGTAAGTATATATATATATATATATATATCCGTTATTTTTGCTGTGCCTTCACGGTAACTCGTTAGCCGTTGTAGATAGGATTACGCACTCAAGCATGTATGGCCTACACATAATACAAGTGGCTACGATGCTATAGGGTATTGTGACTATTTTGACATACACTAGTTCATACACTAGTACTTTTCTTTTTCGTTGAGTCAACTCAAATAACATTTGTTTCAAATTGGAAAGTTCGTCGCTATTGACGTGCTTTCTTATCACTGATTTGCAGCGGAATTCGATTTCATACAGTACCATATTCTTTGCATTCACTTAGTATTCTGTACTTATGTGAATACACATGTAGGGATAATTTAATCTATTGCACGCCTTTTATAGAATAACGCCCTTTGTATATAGTCTGTAATCTATCAATGCGTGAGTACATCAGGATGATTTAATTCTGCTCTTTCAATTTTTCATATGCATGTTAGATGACACCCTCTATATTGTAGTGCTTCAAGTAGCTGGTAGAAGTATATCAAATGTGGGAACACGCTCAGTTAACTAGTAAAACTCAAATTACATACGAACGAATATATATATATCCGCTGATACTGACTGAAGTTGTTTGCTTAATGTACAACAGTTTCTGTGCGAGTATGCAGAGGAGTTTATTGAAGATGTAACCCGATTATCGTGCATGGTGGCTAAGAATCGCCGATCAACCACTCTAGAGCCGTCAGACATCAGTGTCTGCCTACGTAAGTTCCTCCCTTGTCTCGTTCGCCTGTATATACATTGGTATACATAGAGCTCCCTATATATGTACGTATATTTGCTTGTAGTATATGTATATATATATATATATATATAAATATATATATATATATGAGTGTGTGTGTGTGTGTGTGGATATGAATCTATGTGGGTGTTTCTATGCATACATGTGAGCACATTTAGAAACATACCCGGAGGATGATGTTCATTTTAGCATTTGTTCCCTTCTTTTGTGTTCTTTTTGATCAAAGTGATTTTACAGGCTGGTGAGTTTGTGCTTCATGGTGTGAACCGTCTGAATAAGTCTGAGTTACCATCACGTAGAATAGTATTATCAAATGGGTTTAGCTTCTGTAAGTGTTTTGGGTTTCGTTCGCGTGCTGTACTTCGTGTATGTGCTTAAAACTGTGAATGTGTGATATTATATATAGTCTTGTCTCGCTGTGACGACGGCCCAATGAGCAGACAAGTATTACGCTATATAGAGCTCAATGTGAATCACGTAGTGCGAGTTAATTTTATCTTAAGCCTCCGATTGCATGATTTTGTATAGATACAAACATGTCTTTGTATATATTAAGTATAGCTGTATTTCATACGGTGTACAAATAAGATTGTCAATCACATTCTGATTGGACCATGCTGCTTGTAGCCAATGTTAAACCAGAGCATAGCACTATATATCATGCCCACAATTGTAGCCAATTGTATTTACACTCAGACACTCGGACATGTTTTTTTCTTCGAACAACTTATTTCTATTACACATGTATTGCTACATTCGGACACACCTAAACATACGTATTTCCTCGAATCAACTAATTCATTGTCATGTTTTCATAATTGTAAACAGGACGCAATTGGGGCTTGAATGTCCCAGGCGGCGGGGAGAAAGCGCTCCACACGCGACAAATGGTCACTGAGAACCACAAGCGTAGACTGGCAAACATATCCAAGTCCATCGCTCAGACACAGACCCAAGCTGCCAATGCACAGGCACAGGCGGACGCCAAAGCTGCTGCGAATACGAACGCGGAAGCGGAGGCCGAGACAGATAGTACTACAGCCACAGCCACAGCCACAGCTACGAACACCGCTACAACTCCTGGGAATGGTGCGGTTGCGGGAAGTACTGAGACGCCTAGTGTTATTGCAGGCGGGGATACGACTTCAAATACAGCGACAGGTACATCTGGTACTGCTGGTATAAGTACCGGGGTAGTAGAGAGTGGGGTCAGTAGTACGCAGACAGTGGCAGGGACAACGTCGAATATGGATGCGGGTGTGGAGGGTGCTGATAAGAGTGTTACCAATGGTGCTGGTGTGAGTGGCACTGGAGGTGCGACTGCTGGTATTGCAGGAGAGGCTGGCTCAACGCAGGCATCGGACCATATGCAGAGTTGAGTAGTGTTTAGAGCTTAATGAGTTGTGAACAGATACTCTGCATCATTGAGTAAGGATACAAACGCGGCTATTTGCAGAAATGATCGCTAAAAGTGGTGCGGACGTGTATGGCAGTGCTGGTGTGGCTGAGAGTGTGACCAGAGATATACGTTCAACGCAGACAACGGAGCATATACAGAGTTGAATAGATTATAGGGCTCGTGAAGTGTTGCGAACACACACGCTGAGTTATGAAGGTGATTGCTTGCTATCCAGAAATGCAAACACAGACGCCGTATCAATAACTAGACACCCGCGACAAGTTTCTGTTTCGAGTGGTATGAAGTGTGGCTGTGTATAACCCTCAAGTATACATACGCATAGCGTACCAATGACTAGACGGGTGTATGAGAATTTATTGAATACAACCGATCATCTTCAGATGTTGGCGCTATCCGGACCTCAAGCACACGTCGGTAGCAAATCAATTGAACAATTGTTTCGCCACTTATGGATCTTTTGTTGTATCGAGGAGTGCCCAGCGCTCCATGGAGTGCGGTTAGATACCTCGCATATACAGGCGAAATGCTGAAAATGGACAGTTCTATATGAATACCCACACCTTTGCTATGTGGAGTATGTTAAGCAGCGTCCATGGCTCAATGGAATGCTGTTAGATACTTCCCATGCAAATACAGAGATCGTATATCGACTGCTAGTGAGGGGGAAGGGGTGTTAGGACGGACTCTCATGGAACAACAGATCAACTGCAGGTTTCAGTGGTATTCTCATCCTATTGCATGTCGGTTGGAAACCATCCGTATGCGCAAGACAGATGGCGCAGCGATCAATCGATGCGCAATGGCGGAAGGAAACAGAGTACAAACACAATCGACAGATCACATGCAGGTAGATGATATGTGCTCTTTTACAGCTGTCACTATATCCGAGTTGGTTGGTGTTCGAGGCTCTTTGAGGTGAAACTAGATACTCTCCGCGCGAGCACAGACGGATATCGAACTATTGGTTAAAAACTGATTCCTGGAGAAGGAGATTGTTGACAGTCATGACGAATTTTATACTGTCGAGGGTGTAAATCCCAATATAACTTTAACATTGCCCCAGTAACCACTTGCGGGCCAATGGGTAGAAACTGGGTCCAACTGTAAGAGAAGGTTCACAGACTCATATGTGGATGAGAGTGAGGAGTGTAAAGATCTTCGCTTCATAACAACTGGCACTGCTAATTAGGGACGTGTCATAGTCGGAATGGGATAATTCAGGTTGCTAACCACGAGATCTGCATATCCACAGCAGTGATAGCTACACGTTCGGTGTGAATAAATTTACCAACGATGACAGATGTATGCTAGATCATTTCAGTTTCAAAGTAAGTGGTACACTGGCGTTTGGTATGATTAGTTCCCTAAACTCTGAGCATTTAGAATAACAATATAAAAACATCTATATCTATATCTATATATATATGTATATGAATAAATATTC